TGGCGGGCAGGGGGGTGAGGAGAAGCAGCAGCAGGGAGAAGCATGAGCGCGGGGCCCCATGGTGCCGGAACCGGCAAGAGCGTGGGCCATGGCCTGGCACGTGGGGCCGGAGTGGCCAGCGGGCAGGTGGAGGGGTGGGGAGAGGCAGCAGTGATGATGAGAAACTAGGGCAAAAAAAAAAAAAAAAGTAACCAATTATTTCTATTTACATTAAACCCTATGGGGAAATGGGTTTCACTTAGCGCAGTTCCGCTTAGCACTCGGTTTTCCCGGAACCACTTAAGAGCATTAAGTGGGGGTTGCCTGTAACCAAAACCAGTCTGGACACAAGAGAATATTTGGCTTAGACCTTTCTAAAAATCCAAAACGTTGCTACTTGGAAACTTAGTAAACCAGAGACTTCAACTGTGTGTACTGGATGATACTGAACCAGCCTGTAGATGAGTGGCTGGGTTTTTTTGCTACCCCTTTTTTTGGCTACCACATTTTCCTTACCTTGTCTACAAAAGAAAAATAAATTTTATGATGACAAACTCTGGGGACTGAAATTAAACTTTGTTTTTCTTGCAATCAGACTTCTTATTTCTCTCCAAAGAACTTGCCATCTTTATCCCAGTAGATATAAGCTTCTGTTGAAGCTCACAGTAGTATCTACCATGGAAACAACCACATTTGCTGCAGATTCACATTCTTTGAAATGTATTTTTCTCCTGCTAGGCCAGCTCCAAATTTTCAAAATAGGGTTTTTCCTGGCATAGGGAAGGTAACTTAATCAATATGTTTAAGTTATGATGATCTTCCAAGGTCCCTTCCGGCCTTACAATCTATGAATCTATATTTGTTAGTGCTTTTGCAAAGGAGCAAGAACAGGGATCTGATTACACAGTATTTATTTTTAATGTAATGCAAATAACACCAAGGTGTCACAACCCAGTTAATCAGTGCCCGTGCTACTAGCAAGAGATACCATTCAGACCATCCTCATTTTGCACACAGTAGTCAACTAAGGGTTAAAAGAAATCCTTGCCAGAAACTCCTGAAACAAAATCCTGGCGGAGAGCTGTATATAATTTATGCCCACGTCACAAACAAGAAACGAAACTTAAGACTGGTCAGGGTGAAAGGGCATATCCCTGTCATAAATCCCTAGCAAAAACTGCTATATAATTAGAGATTCAGACGAAAACCAGATGACGTGGCTTAAATCAATTGGTCACTGTGTAAACAAAACCAGCTTGCACTTCCGCCAAATCGGAGAACTCTGGGGGAAATCTCTGAGGAGAAACCTGAGCCCATCATCAGAGTAACTTGATGGTTTGATCACCCATCAATCACTCCCCATCATCGCGGTCCCGACGTACCCTAACCCTCCTGCAGGCTCGTCCGGTCGTTCACGGTATCTCGCTCGTCATACACGGTCAATTGTAACCTGAGACACACGCTCGAATGTAAACAATGCAAGCCTTCTGCCTGTGTCACAGGTCACTATCTGGGCGAAGTAAGTAAACAATCTCCTGTAACCAACACGCATCTGTGCCTGGTTAATTCCACTCCATCCATTAATTACCCACCTGTCAAGGTGAAAGTTTTACTGCTCTGGTGGGAATCAGAAAGCAGCTGCCGGCGCTGCTCTGATTCTCGACACAAGGATTGTATACGGTTTCACCTTGGGCAACCTAGCTCTTGGAACCAGTTTAAGAACGCTGAATGTACATGTGTGGGTGTCTGTGTGCAACCATGCACACGTGCACATCCCCCCACCCCGAACATAGAGCTTTTGCCACCAAACACACAGAACATGCCTATATTGCTTTTGAAGAATTCATGGAGATGCTGCCGAGAAGCTCATACCACACAGCTGCTCCTACAGCACGCACCATCCCTGGAAACAAGGCAATGAAGGCAGGCCAAGTGCAAGTTTGGAAAGTAGGTTCATCACACAGCCACTCTGAAGAGTAGCAGCATGGTGTGGTGGAGTGAGGTGCCCTCAGGGCAGCTTCACTGACACACTTCCAATCTAGATAGAACAAACTAAAGAAAAAGAGTACAAAGAAAACAATGTGTTTGAATTTAAGGAATTTCAGCAATTTAATAGGGAATACATTAAGCACTTCAGGTCACAGAGGTACTTTCTGTTTCTTCTATCTATTAAACTAAGCCAGGGGTTTTCAACCTTATTTAATCTAAGTACTCTTGACGGCTAGATGCCGAGCAGGTAGGGAGGATGGGGGTAGTGTGTGGCTGGACACGGAGCAGGGAGGCAGGGACAGTGCACGAGTGGGCGGGGAAAGAGCGCTGCTGCCTCCCAGGAGCAGGGCCGGGCGCGGTGGGGTGGGGTAGCTCATCAGGCTGGGGTGAGGGCAATGGTGCCCCTCTGTGGGGTGGGGAAGCTCACCGGGCTGGTGTGTGGCAGCAATGGCCAGCGCGTGCAAGCTTCCCCGCCCTGCAGAGGGGCACTGCTGACCTCGCCCCACCCCAGATCTGCTCCTGGGAGGTGGCTGCACTCCCTCCCCGCTTGCACGTACCCCCTAGGAAGGGTCCAAGTACCCCCAGGGGTATGCGTACCCCCCTGAACTAAGCTTTCATTTATAGGATACAAGTTGAAAGCTTTTTTTCCTGTGTCTAAGTAACTTTAGGTAGTGCTGGGATAGGAATGAGGATGCTTTTACATTTCCCTCAGTGAGTCAGATAGGGTGGGAGGGTGGAATGAGGTGAGGATCATTTATCCTAGCCACAGGAAAAGGAAAATAATTCCAAGATTTTAACTCCAAGCCTCAGTATCTAGGCACATCCTAGTCCACCCATTCACAGAAAGAGAAAAAACAATTCGTCGTATCTTCCACCAAAGGCAGGGTTCCAAGCCTTTTCACTCCTACTAAGGTAGAGTTTCTCTCTCAATAACCAAAGTGCTCTGTTCACTGCAAATTAAGACTAATAAAAACAATTTTATCACCCCATGTACCAAGTTAAGTTGAGGTCAACGGTAGTTATGTAACAGAATTAGAATAGAGGTCAATTCTGGTCTCACTGAAGCTGTCAGTCAGCTACTGACAAATGTGGAAGAAGTGATGCCAAGCATATAAGCAGAGGGACTAGGCTTTGTGCCAGGAAAGTGACTAATCAGCTGTGACGTAGAGTCTACCACCAGTACAGCCAAAATTACATGGCAACAGATGAAGCGGAGGCTGGGATCCATATTAAACACAATTAGAAGTAGAGTTATTGTAGACCTTAAAATCCAACACCAGACATCAAGGGTAGACAAGGATTTTCCCAATCATACCTAGTTTGGCCTGATTATGTGACGGTAACTTTGCAAACTGGGTCTTTTGAAACAACATGCATGTGCATGTGTGAGTCTCAAAATATCACTCTAACTTTGCAATTGTGTCAAGTGGTACTGCAGGGTCTACCCTAGTGGACACCTATATTTTCAAGTGTATGTGACCAATATGAACAGACTATAAGGAGAGAAGGACAATCTTCACGCATTTATCCATGGGATCATAGCTAGAAGTGATATCAGGACACAGATCTTTTCATTCAGCCAAGTCCCAGTTCACTCTAAGACAGTGAGAGAGCCATTATACCTTTTGAACCATAAAAGAACATTCATCTAAAAACAGAAGTGAAAAAAGAGAAATCAAAAGCTATGAGTGTTGCTATATTCCCTCAGTGCACACTAATGACAATGTGAATCACCTGTGGTATTCTATGGCTTCAGTCATGAACCATAGAGTTCATAACCAAGACTTGGGCTTTATTCATTTGTGTCACTGCTTCTCAAATGCCTTAGAATACACTAACCCCTGTTTAATCCTTGTCAAACAAAAATGTAAAAGGCACTAACATTTCTTCTAAGATGTCCACATATAAGAATATAAGGCAATCTTGTTAAAATATAACTGTCACTGAATTTTGAACACGGAGCCATACACTTCATCTCTTTTGGTATTTTGAAAATTATTTACAGGTTTTAGTTTAACATGTTTTCATCTACTAAAACTCACCTCTGAGCATTTTACCCATTACTACATGTACTGCAGCAAAGAAAAAAAAATGTTTGATTTCAGTAGGCATGACAGTATTTCATCTACAATCAGTTTCAGTTTTCCATCTTATTCTTTCACACAGCAATGAGAAAAAAAGGTGTTCTAAAGATATGGAAATGTAATTCCAAAAAACAACAGACAGGACTTGAAATTGGCAATCTCCCATTTTTTTCTCCAAGTTAATAAGGATGAGGTGTCCAACTTCAAGCAAAGAGTAAGAAATAACTACACCTTCTCTAACCCACTTTTGCACAGAGCATGTGCAACACACAAAAAGTACAAGCAAAAGAACAGGAGTTAAAACTTGTGTTTCAAAAACTCTATTTCTGTTCATACAATAAGCAGCAAAAATAATCTTACCTCGTTCGTCTGCATTCACACATTTTTGTCATAAAGGCAGGGCACGAGGGGCAAGGCCCTGGATGGCAGAGGCTTAAAAATGAGAACACAATAAATTACATGAAGATTTATGGTATCTTAATAAACACACTTATTCCACTTGAAGAACAGAAAATTAAATGATCTACTGTAACACAGACATTCTGTCAGTTTTAAACACAATAGCATACCAGAATTTAAAGCTTGCTTAACTTAGAAATAAAAATTAAGATAGATCATTTAAAAAAATAGACTTGACATTATCCCTCTAATCACTCTTGTAAATTAGGGTGTTACTGTACATTCACAGATTTTTAAGGCCAGATGGGACTATCATCATTATGCCTGACCTTCTGCACAAGAGACCAAACATTTCTGAATTAACCTTCCAGCTTCTCTTAGAGAAACAGAAAAAGTGATGTGGCCAAAGCCTCGCAGCAACTAGAACCCAAGTGTCTTGAATTCCAATCCAATGGAAAACTCATTGGCAGCCTTCCTCTCAAAATTACAAATGAAATGCAAACCTAGAGTTACTACTGAGCATTACTAAATTAGAAATATTCCTTTATAAAGCAGTTTGAGGGACTGGGAAGTTAGGGTTACCTACTATGTCTATCTTCACAACAGTAAGAGGCCTAACAGATGGCAACAATCTTTAACCATTCATAATTCTTCTGTAAAACAGCCCACATGTTCTTTGTTCTGGCTAACAGTTTCTGAATTAGAGGGGTCTTTTAGGTAAACTGGTCCAAGAAATAATTTATTTTCAAATCATTTTATATTTCCCTACCGATGCAGAAAAATATGCAGTCCTATGAAAATGGGCAATATCTATTAAAATTAAATTTTAGTCATGAGTCATTTTTACGATACGATTTAAAATCTCTCAAATAATGTTGTATTTGTTCTAACAGCAGTAATACAATTTCGTTTGCACTCAGCTTGGAACTGAATGCATTTAGCATTCCTGTCTTTTCCACGACATGTAATGGGGGTGAGGGGGAAGATGGACACTACTGTACTCATCAAACCCCTTCTGTGGGGAAGAAGAATGGTCCAATAATAAAGGTGCTAACCTGGAATATGGGATACCCAATTTCAATTTCCTGCCCAGTCACAGACATTGTGTGACCTTAAATAACTTGCTCAGTTTTCCTCTGGCAGGGCTCGAGAAGGAAGAGTCCTTGCTGCTGTTTCCACCCAATTATTTGTGATCTGCAATTCCTCTAACACCAATACCACCATTATGTTAGTACAATGGAAACATAACAGAAAAACATCCACTTCTTCCAAAACAATATTCACGGCCTAGTGAATAAAATATATTTTTTTAAATGGCCAACAAGATGATAGCCTGCATTTAGTCATTAGAAGTCTATTTATACAAGCATTTTTGTTTGAGAAATTACTGACTGGCAAACTGAAAATACCCAAGGAGCAATTGGTTTCCAGATTTTAATCTTGTTCTGTGAATTATTACACTGTATTTATAAACACACTTACATATTACAAAGATGTGGACAGTCCTGACCTGGTCTTCTCTTTCCACAAAGTTCTCCACAGCTATGTGGAATTTCATTTCTGTTCCATTCAGGGTTGTTTACTTTACCTAAAAGCAAACCAGATGACCATATTTGTTCATATAAATACTAAGTTTAAGGAAAAAAACCTGTATGTGGTATAAACTGTTACAGATATTTGTATTTTCAATACTCAGATTCTATGTTTAAGAGATGCTCTGCCTTGAAAATTAAGGGCAACACTGGAGTTTAGGGGTGCACCAATAGAGATTTTTGGGGCTGATACAGATAGCTGATATTAAAGGAGGCATATTGGCAGATACCGATTTGATTTCCAATACAGCTGCCTCCAGCTGGTCAGTCAATTGTAGTGGAAGGCGAGAGAAGGGAAAGTGGGGGGGAGCAGATCAACGCCCCCACCATGGTAAGGCATGGGCGGGGTGGAAGGGAGGGGAGGGGAGGGGGCCCACATGCCCCTGGATCTGTTCAGGGTGTGGCAGGGCAGGCTGCAGCCACGGCTGTGCAGGGCTCTTTATATGCTGGGAAGATGCTGCTTCCACCCCAAATTTTGCCACAGCAGCCTGGCGTTGCTTCGACTTAATGCTCTGCCTCCACCCACGCACTGGGAAAAGCTGGGGCTGTACTGGGTGGCTGGCAGTGGTAGCACTGGGAGCAGAGGGCAGCAAAATTTGGGGCGGATGCTGCAGTCTCCCAGCCCAGTCCCTGCCAAGAAGAGCCCTGCACAGCACCCACCCCGCTTCCCTCCCCTTCTACAGACTGACCAGCTGGAGTCAGCTCTCTATGCTGCTGGCTCTGCTCCTGGCTGCCTGAGTGCTGTGCTGCGGCTGCACACAGCACAGGCATTTATCAGTCAAATTATCGGCCCCATTGGGCCAATATCCAATACAACAAATTCTCTTGATATCGGTACCAATCCAATATCAGACTGATGTATCAGTGCACCTCTACTGGAGTTCCTTTTATCTTTTATCTTGAGATTGAGGGGTTGAATGAGACAGTAAAGAAAAACAATTAATTCTTAAAGTCATACAAGTGGTCAGACTAATATGCAGAACTCAGCTGTAAGCTGCATAGAAGGCTAAACACTGAAGCACAATAATACTTTGTTAAAACAAGGTAACAAAGCTCTCCATGCATCTTACTTACAGCATCCTATGTCAAATTTTGTAATTCTATGTACAAGAGTGTTTAAATTTAAAATCTATAAATAAGCAGAAGCCAGATGGTGGCTTCATCTAAGACCTCTGCAGGGAAGAAATACCCATGAAGTAAATTTAAGGGATTATGAGACCAAACCAATTTCAGAGAATTAAGTTCAAATATCAATATCCAGTATTGAAGAGTATTTTCAGTGAAGAAGCATTCATGTTTTGTAAGAAACAGGGAGGAAAACGTTTCCATGACGGGGGTGTTTTAGAAAGCAGATTACAAGTTTGACGAGTGAGTGGTGCCAGAGAAGTGATAAGGTCATCTCATGACTCTGCTATTTTTTGCTCTATATTAGAGGCCTGGTCTACATAGGAATGTGTTACACCAATTTAAAGCATATTTTTCATAAGTATAGATAATGATACCAGTACAAAACCCTGTAAGGGCACTGAACCTGTTCAAATTAACAAACTAAAGCAAAAAAAGTCACTCTTGTACCTGAATGGCCATGCCAGAGTTTTAATGAGCATGTTTTCTTACATACAACACATCTTTATTTCCTCCCAACATTGGGGTGAATGTATTAAGTGGGAAAGCTGATTTTCTGCCCAGGATAGAAACACCCTGCTTTGACTCCTGCTCCACAGTGCAACAGCTATAGCATTAATATTCAGAAACAAAAGACTTAATGGCTACTGCGCTTCATTCCAGCAGTGTTAGTGACAGTCTCTCCTTTTCAGCAGTCTTGATGTTCCACTAATTAAGCTAACCTTTCTTAGTACAATTTGGCTGTCTTCTAGCTGCTCTTGTTCTCTCTCCTCCTTGGAGACTCTTTAGCACTTTTCAGAAATCTCTACCCACAGAGACCAGTCTTCAGTAGCAGCTAGGATTTCACTTTAGATAAGCAGGAAAGGAAGGGTGAGTCAGCTGAAGATTAGCTCTGTCCCTGCTCTATGGAGCCATAACTCTAGAAAACTCTTTTTTTCTTAATTCTGCCTTTCAAAAACAAGGATTGTATTATATGCCATAGCATACTGCATGCAAGAAAATATGGCAGTTTAAATATCCTATCTTAAATATACATCCTATGTTATACCAGTGCAGATTTCCATACATACAAGGCCTATAATTGAATCACAGAACAGGGCGGGAAGGGACCTCAAGAATTCATCTCATCCAATCCGCAGTTCCAAACAGATATACATTATGTCCACCACAGAAGAAGAGAGACGCGTACTTTTGCCATTTCTTTAGAATTTTAAAATTAACTGTCTTTACATATGTAATGGTTTAAGATAAATAATAAAAATTAACGTAGCATTTAAACTAAATGTCATATATGATCCTCATACAAGAATGAAATTCTGTGCAAAAATCAGCTTGTTAGCTTCCAGTACAAGGAAAGTTAGAGCCAGCAGTGCTTCTGGAGATGTAAGAGGGGGAGGGGAGCCAGATATTTAACAATTTCCTGCCCAGGGCAGGAGGTCGGACTTGATGACCTACTGAGGTCCATTCCAACCATAACATCTATGAATACTAAAACTTCATTAATTAAGAAAACTGTAAATTAAGGAACTGTAAATAGGCAACACTTACCACAAAAACACGTATAAGTAGCAGGAACTCTGGTTGAAGCATTTTGACAAGCAGGACATCTCCAACCACTATTGCCATCTGCAAAGAAATTAAAACACAGAAAAGCTTATTACTTTCAGATATATTTTAAATAACTTATAATAGCTGTAATGGACAGCAAGCTTTTTTTTTTTTTTTTTTTTAATAATTTCAAGTAATATACTGAAATGCCTTAGGATAAAACTGATTTAGTATTGATTCATATTCTGAATAGTTATATAAAAATGTCAGTATGACCCACTTTAAGCAAACTAAAAGCGGATAAAGCTTAGAAACCGATTGCTAATGAGGGATTTGCAGTTCATCAGTGTTATTTAAGGGGGTCCATTTTCAAACCAATGTCACTTTAATCAGCAATGATTTTATAGTTTTTTCTAGGGAAACCAATAAAAAGTTCACCAGTGAAGCAAAGATTGGTTTGGTGGTAAACAAAAGACAGGACAAGTCATTAATACACAATGATCTAAATCCAAGCTCAATGCTAGATGCAATAGAAGTGCATTAATATAACCAAATGCAAAAACGTGTACAGATCAGTCTATAGCACCTACAAACAGAGAAGCTGTCTGAGTGCAAAGTGTTTTTAACTTAGCAGACACAAAATTAGCATAAAAATAACAACAACATTCAAATTGGAAATATTATGCAAGTTTAATGGCAGGAACAGCCTGCTGCTGAAAATAATTACCATAGCAGACAACAAACTGAATCCTCCACCTCTTAAACTCAAACTTCTTTTTAAATTACACTTTGGCTCAACAACAAATCGCTGGGCTAGATCAAGTCACGAGGTAAAATTCTACAGCCAGTATGTATAATACAGGAGGATCAAAGTAAGTGATGGCAACAGTCTTTTCTTGGCCTTAAGAGTTTTATAAAGTCACATGACAGTAAAATGTAAAAAATAAGACCCAGCTAAGCTCCTACAGACTTCAAGAATGAAAGCAAGCCTGTTTATACAATAACACTTTCATTACAGTGGTTTAAAGTGTCTTCCCTACTAGCCTCCCACGAAGGGGTGGGCTGTGTGGTCTATTTTCTTAACATTACTGCACAAAGGAACAAATAAGGCAAAAGGCACTTGGCTCCCTGGCACATTTCATGGAAGTGAAAACATTTTCAGTCTGAGACTAATACAAACATACAATCTCAGAGTAATTAATCATTTAACTGTTCTACCAATCAATCTGAGAAAGTTGTAAGGGTAAACCAGTGCTTGAGAAAACAAAGTTATTGTGGAACATTTCAACTCAAATTGTGTGCAACAGATCAGAGTATAAAAGGATGTCCAAGTGACAAGATGGACACTACTCAAACGCACAGAACTACAATTGTAGACCCAGCACAGAAGAAAAAAAAAAAGATCATTTTATGCAAAGATATATAAGCACACAAACTGTAACCCTTGATCAAATCAGTAACACTGTGAATCCTCATCTCCAGAAGTGGCCAGCACAAGAAGCTTCAAAGAAAAGGTGCACAAATCTACTTATCTGGGAGATGTTATTATAGCCACCAGTTTAGATATTTTTCCAGTATCCAATCCCACTTTAAAACTGGCTGCATTCTAGCATTACTGCTCTATAGCCAATAGCTACAGTAACCAGAAAACACTTAGGCTCCCTCTACATCAGAGGTGTCCAACCTTTTTGAATGTGGGGCTGGATCATGAACTTTTTAATCACCCAGTGGGCCGGCGAGCCATAGTCAAACAACCTCTGTCCTGGGCCAGAGAGACCCTGCCTGTGTAGCCCTACTGTACCTGCCTGTTACTGCAAGGTTCATGGTAGCTGCTGGTGGGCAGGGGCAGGAGGGACCCATTCTGCAACCAGCCAGCTGCTGCCCCAGACACTGTAGGGGAGAAATAAATAGCTCCACATCTCCAACCCCCGAGCAGCGCAGCCCCACGAGCTGGTGCTGCCTGAGGGGGGCTGGAGCGAGGCAGCCGCTGCACCACAGCCACCGCCCCTCCCCTGCCTGCCTGCACGGCCCCGTTCACCGTGGTGCCTGGCCACCCGCGCACACAGCCCCGGTGGCCTCAGTGCTGAAGCAGGAGCGCGGGGTCCGGCAGACACCAGCTCCCGCTGCCTCGCCCCGCAGAGGTCATGCCAGGACCCCGCCTGCCGAGGCCCCCACCCTGTGCTGCTGGGAATGGGAAGAGGCCAGCCAGGTCGGCACCAGCCAGCAGAAGCAGCAGCAGAGCCAAGTGCCGCTCAGGACTGACTGGTGCAGGCAGGGGAAAATGCAGCTGAGCCCTTGCCGCTCCAGCCGGGCTCATCCCTTCCCGAGCGGCACACGGCTCCGCTGCCACTTCTGCTGGCCAGTACAGACCCGGCTAGGCTCCTCCCATCCTCAGCAGCTTGTGGGAAGTCAGCTTCAGCTGCATGCTGCTCCAGATGGGACAGACCTGCCCGGGTTAGCACCAGCCAGCAGAGGTGGTGGCAGAGCCATGTGCCGCTCGGGACTGCCCGGTGCAGGTAGGGGAAAAGTGCAGCTGACCCCCTGCTGCTCTGGCCAGGCTACTCCTCTTCCCACATACACCGTGCTGGCAACGTCAAGCTGACGTGGTGCATGTGGGAACCTTGTCCCTTTCCCAGCCTTTCAGCAGCTATTAGGAAGCTGCTGAGGGGCTGGGGAAGGGACAAGGGGTGGGAACAGAAGTAAACAGTGTTTACTTTTGTTTCCCGTCGCAGTACCACGGGCCTCAGAAAATGCCTCGGAGGGCCACATGGCGGCCTGTGGGCCATACGTTGGACAAGCCTGCTGTACATGTTACACATATTGCATAATTAAGTAGTTTTCAGCAAACCTGAGGGTCATTACCTAGTCTGTCAATAGAGAGAAGGGAAAGAAAAAGAAGAGATGAAGCACAGAAGAATGAATACCATGAACAAGCAAGCATTGGTGATCTTAATTTCTCTACCACTGCAGACTAGAGCTGCAGAGAAGTTGCACAAAAGCAGAGGACTAGTATTGTGTGTGTTAAAATGTAGTTTCAACTGCTTCTGTGATTTGTATATGTGGTTAAACATCAGTCAGATCCCAAACCAGAAGTGTGAAAATGCAAATCACAACACATACAAGCTGTTCCAGTCTCCTTATCAGATATTTAGTTTACACACCTGTGTTATCTATATGTATGATTTGAAATCTAGCCAGAAGCCTACACACTAATCAATAGTGTTAGAACTGTAATATGAACTCTTAAAATTAAAATAATTCTGATTATTCATGTCCAACTTAAATCTTGCTGTACTCGGAGTTGTACTAAGATACTTACTTGAACAGGTATGGAGTTTCTCTTTATCCAGCTATCATTAAAAGAGACAAGTTCCCCCACAGGGATGTGAGCAGCTAAACAATTAATCATTTAATTGATAAGCCCAGTGATAACTGGTTAGCTTGCCAGTTATCAGTTAGCTCAGGGTGCATGTAGTCTAGCAGGAAAGCC